TGAAGATTCTCAAGGACACTTTTTATTGATTTTTTACAGAGAGGAAGGGAGAGGGATAGAGAGCTAGCAACATCGATGAGAGCCGAAACCGGTTTGGCTCGGTGGTAGAGCATCCGTCTGTGGACTGAAAGGTCCCAGGTTCGATTCCGGTCAAGGGCATGTACATTGGTTGTGGGCACATCCCCAGTGGGGGGTGTGCAGGAGGCAGCTGGTTGATGTTTCTCTCTCATCGACGTTTCTGGCTCTCTATCTCTCTCCCTTACTCTCTGCAAAAATTCAATAAAATTAAAAAAATTAAAAAAAAGAAACATCGATGAGAGAGTCATCGATCAGCTGCCTCCTGCACACTCCCCACTGGGGATGTGACTGCAACCAAGGTACATGCCCTTGACCGGAATCGAACCTGGAACCCCTCAGTCCACAGGCCGATGCTCTAGCCAAACCGCTTTCGGCTCAAGGACACTTTGATAATGGGGTGAATGAGGACTGGTATGAGGCATTTTTCTACCAGGTAGCAGCCACCAACAGTTGAAGACTTGGGGAGGTTGAGGAACAAAACAACTTGGGGTTGACTGGATGCTCTATGTGCTTGTGGATAGGGCCCTGGCAGTTGGGGAGCAGGGTGTAGCAGCTGTCCTTTGCTGTGTGGAGGGTCAGCTGTAGTGCTGGTACAAGGGCTCTATCTGTGGGCTGGCTGTTGCTATTTTCTGACAAGGGAGTCCATGACAGAGGCCCTGGCTTTAGGATCTGCAGATGGATGGCTTCTGATTGGTGGTCCCAGGCTACCCTTAGCTGAATGGAGGCTTGTCGGCAAATAGCTTAGATGGTGCCCCAGAGACTCTCTTTGGGAGCTATATAACCTAGGCTGTCTTGTTTTCAGATTTCAGGAGTTTACAAATCAAATGATTTTTATTTTTATTTTATATTTTTACTGATTTCAGAAAGGAAGGGAGATTGAAATATCAATGATGAGAATCATTGATCAGCTCCTCCTGCACACCCCCTACAGGGAATGGGGCCCAAAACCTGGGCATGTGCCCTTTACTGGAATTGAACCTGGGATCCTTCAGTCTGCAGGCCGTCACTCTATCCACTGAGCCAAATCGGCCAGGACAAATGCTTTGTATTTTAAATGGCCAATAAAATAGATCCTGAAGTTATTTGGTCATACTTTCCCAATTATAACCTATAACTTGAGCATTCAGGCAAACATCATGTCTTCTTTTTAGTTTCACAGAACTGGCTATTTTTAAAATTAAATAAGCATTATTTGACATTGTGTGAATTTAAGATGAACAGATATTGATTTGACCCACTTATATGACAGTATGACTGCCACTGTAGTGTAGCGAACACTTCTGATAGTAGGTGTTTGGCTGGAGCTCAGGAGGCCCAGGCTGGGCTCCAGGAACTCTGCAGAGCTGGCTAGGGACAGGCGATCCACAGTATATGATGGGAAATGACACAGCTCCCAGAAAGGTTGGGCACAGAGAAGAGAATAGGCCTGCGGGCAGATGGGAGACATGGGACCAAGTGGAGGACAGGAGCAGATGGAGGCATTGCTTCCAGAGAGTCCACTGAGAAGCAATATGGGGTGTGGCCGGCCTGGGGTCTCCGAGAGGCAGGGTGGCTCTGGGTGTGGAAGAGGCACTTCTTACAGAGAGAGGACCTGGGCTTCTCCCACCCATGCCCTCAGTGTTGACATTTGGCATTGGTTAAAAGTGAATAAATACAAAGAGAAATTTAAAAGTATGAAGAGAAAAACATCTTCCCCTTGAGTGAATATCATACAGGAACTTCTAAGACCACAACTCTTGCACAGCCCAGATATGAACATCAACCGAGGCCTGCATCTTTACCTAGGCACATAAAAGCCTGCTCCCTCCCCATTCACCACTGACTCCTTTCTCAAAGTCAGTCCACCTGCACCCAGGTGCCTTGAATAAATATCATTTTGATTACAAAAAAAAAAAAAAGTGAATAAATAGCATACATTTGTTGCACAAATACTGATATACTACCTTAAACATCTCCTATTCTATGGATACAACTAAAAAAGTTAGTTAACCCTATAATAACATATCGTCAAGAGGTCAAAATGAGAGTTTAATTTCTTGTGGAATAATAAATATCACGAGATTAAGTATGAGCAGCAGAGATGTAAATGAACATGGCATCTTGCTGGTTTGTGCCACCTCCATCCCAGGAGGTGACCACATTCCACCCCAACTCCTCCTATGCCATCCTGGGGTAGGTGTGCATCACCCCTGCTCATTTAGGCTTGTTGCCTGGAAGGCAAAAAAAGCTTCCAGGAGCCCGTGTACCTGCCCATTCAAATTCTCCAGGGCATTGCCCAGTCGGCATGGCTCAGTGGTAAAGTGTCAACCCATAAACCAGGAGGTCACTGTTCAATTCCCGGTCAGGGCACATGCCCAGTTTGTGGGCTTGATCCCCAGTGTGGAGTGTGCAGGAGGCAGCTGATCAATGATTCTCTCTCATCAGTGATGTTTCTCTCTCTCCTTTTTCCCTTCCTCTCTGAAATAAATAAAAATATACTCAAAAAGAAAAATAAATTCTCCAGAGCATGGTCCTCAGCCTGCTGCCTACACCACTGCTGGGCCTGCTGTTGTAATGTCTCCATCTCCCACTCCAGGACATAGTACTTGTTCCTAGCCTGGAGGAGCTCAGCCAGGAACCCCTCTGTGCTCAGGGCCTGAGCCTCCTCTGGATCTTGCTCCCAGACTCCTGCCTCATCTATGGTATGTCCAGGGAGGCCTGGTTCTTAGCAATGGCCCCACCAAATTGTAGAATTCATCACCCGTGAAATGATGCTCCGACAAACTGAGCCACACTGGCCAGAACTAGTCCAGGGGTACAGGATGATGCTGAGTCACCTGGCTAGGGCCAAATTGATCTTTAAAGTGCATGGATTGCCAAAACCGGTTTGGCTCAATGGACAGAGCGTCAGCTTGGGGACTGAAGGGACCTGGGTTCGATTCCGGTCAAGGGCATGTACCTTGGTTGCGGGCATATCCCCAGTAGGGGGTGTGCAAGAGGCAGCTGATTGATGACTCTCTCATCGGTGTTTCTAATTATCTCTCTCCCTTCCTCTCTGTACAAAATCAATAAAATATATTAAAAAAAATAAAAAAAATAAAGTGCAAGGATTTCAGTAGAAGAGTAGTGATGCTGAGCTGAGCACATACACAGCTTTTGGAGGATGGATTTGGACATCTACCCATGGGGTAAGGGTGTATCTCCACTTTCTAATGCCTCCTCTCTTCTCCAGCTGCAGTCTGTTTGTGGACTGAATGAATGACCCTGAGTAAATCCCAGCCTTCTCAGTTCTGTCTTTCCTCTGGGCCTGGGAGCTCAGTACCTACAGCCACAATCTTTCAAGAACGCCGCCTCAGGTCTGGGTCATTTGGAAACTTCTCAACCCCCACCCCAAGCACCTTGGAGACTGGGTGCATCCTGTTTTGTGAGACTACTACATTCACCTGCCTGCCCCCACCTGTCAGACTCCTGGCCTGGAGAGGAAGGTGTTGATCTGGAGTTTTCAGGACCCAGAGAAGCACTGCCAGTACCCCACACCAGTAGTCTGGCCATGTAATGGCCTGCGGCTCTTGTCTGCACTGCAGATCCAACCTAGGGCCAGGGCTCTGAACTATCAGCTAAAAATATGAAACTGGACCTACACTGCACACTGGAAAACAGTTTGTTTAGGAGGGGAAATGGAGAATCTCCCAACCCCCTCCGCCTACACATATGTAAAAATATGTAAATGAGGTTAAGAAAATAGTGTTAGCCACCCTCCACACTCCTTGCCAACAATATTACCTTCTTCTTTTTTTAAAATATATATATTTTGTTGAAACCGGTTTGGCTCAGTGGATAGAGCGTCAGCCTGCATACTGAAGGGTCCCGGTTCGATTCTGATCAAGGGCATGTACCTTGGTTGCGGGCACATTCCCAGTAGGGGGCGTGCAAGAGGCAGCTAATCGATGATTCTCTCCCATGGATGTTTCTAACTCTCTACCCCTCTCTATCTTTCTCTCTGTAAAAAATCAATGAAAAATATTTAAAATATATATATACATTTTTTTTTTTTTTTTTTTTTTTTTTTTACAGAGAAGGGAGAGGGATAGAGAGCTAGAAACATTGATGAGAGAGAAACATCAACCAGCTGCCTTCGGCACCCACCTCCCCCACCCCCACCGTGGCTGTGCCCACAACCAATGTACGTGCCCTTGACCAGAATCGAAACTGGGACCCTTCAGTCCACAGGCCGACGCTCTATCCACTGAGCAAAACCAGTTTCGGCAAGAATATTACCTTCTTATGTAGAAAACAGTTTCTATATAATCAGGCCATTCCTGAAAAAATCGCGACTATCCCCTGGGTAGTTTGAAGCTAGTGGTTGAAGTTTAGAAATAAATTTAATTCCTACCAGTCGATGGACTTTGATTTTTTATGACACTTAACTGGAAGGTACATTCTTGTGTTCATAGGCTAGTATCTCCATCGAAGACGTAAAATCTGATACTTTTGCCGAGACCGGTTTGGCTCAGTGGATAGAGTGTGGGCCTGCCAACCGAAAGGTCCCGGTTCGATTCCGGTCAAGGGCATGTCCCTTGGTTGCGGGCACATCCCCAGTGGGGGGTGTGCAAGAGGCAGCTGATCGATGTCTCTCTCATCGATCTTTCTAACTATGTCTCTCTCTTCCTCTCTGTAAGAAATCAATAAACTATATTAAAAATAAATAAAATAAAATCTGATACTTTTATATTTTCATGTATCTCAAAAGGTGGGGTCGTGGGGGATGGAACAGACTCCTTTACACCTGAGGGCCTCTGGGATGGAGTAACAATCGCCCACCAGCTCCTGCACACGCTCAGAGCATGGAAAAGGAGGGGGAAACTAAAAGGGAAACTGCCAGGACTTAAGATGTCTGACCGCGGCCAGCCCGAGCTCCCGGGCAGGGCCTACCCGCTTCCAAAATGTCCCCGCGCAGCGCCGACGTCACCCCGACGGCTTCAGCAGCCCGAGAGCCCGGAGCCAATCAGGGCGCGCTCCCTCTCCCCCGGCCCGGCCCCGGACCTGCGTCACTTCCGGTGGTGCAGCAGCCATTTTCTCAGTCGCCAGCGGATCCCGCGCGCCGGAGAAGTGCAGTTCCCCCTGGTTACCAACGCGTTAGTGCTCCCTCCTCCGCGCTGCGGGCGCGGCCGAGGGGCGCTCCCCGCAGACACAGCCGCTCCTCCCCGCAGTGTCCGCGCCGCGGTGACCTCCGCCCGGAGCCAGAGCCGCTGTCTTCCTCCCTCGCCCCCTGACAGGCGCCCTGCTCTGGGGGCCCGGGCCGGCGATGTCAAGTGAGGAGAGCTACCGGGCCATCCTGCGCTACCTGACGAACGAGAGCGAGCCGTACGCGCCGGGCACGGAGGGCAATGTCAAGCGCAAGATCCGCAAGGCGGCCGCCTGCTACGTGGTGCGCGACGGGACGCTGTACTACCAGCGGCGGCAGCGGCACCGCAAGACCTTCGCGGAGCTGGAGGTGGTGCTGCAGCCCGAGCGGCGCTGGGGGCTCATCGAGGCGGCGCACCTGGGCCCGGGCGGCACCCACCACACCCAGCATCAGACCTGGCACGACCTGTCCAAGACGTACTGGTGGCGAGGTAGGATGTCGCCCGCGGCGGCGGCGCGAGGGCGGGCGGGCGGGCGGCGTGGGTCCCGGCCGGGCCCGGGCCTGCGTGCAGCACTGCGCGCCGGAGGGCCCCTCGCCCGGCTCCCCGCACGCCCCCCGCCGGCTCAGCCCACGCGCGGCGGCGGCGGTGGCGGCGGCGCCGGAGCGGCTGCCAGGCGGAGCCCAGAGGGTGAGGGACGGGAAGGGAGCCGCACTTCCCACAGGAAGGAGGCCTGGAAGCTGGGGGCGGGCCCTGGCCCGGGGTGGGGCGAGGGGCTTCCTCAGGGCGGGCGGGGGCGGGGCCGCGGGCGGGCGGGGCCGCCGGCTTCCCCCGGGGGAGGTTCTGGCCCTGGCGCCGGGCGGCGGTTGGCGGGGCTGCGCGCTGCGCCTTTAAGAAGCCGGGCTGCGCTGAGGGCTGGGGAGGGTCCGCCCACCGCCCCGCTCTCTTCCGGCGCGTGGCCCCCCCCCCCCTTCCCCAAGGGTTTGGGCCCCGAGTTTGAGGTTCTCAGCACCCGTTTCCTCGTATTCCTCAAACCGGGGTGCTGCGTTGGAGGGAGGCGTAATGTAATTGTGTGCAGAAGTGATTCAGAGACATTGGAACTTTCTTCTTTTTTTTTTTTTTAAATATATTTTATTGATTTTGTACAGAGAGGAAGTGAGAGAGAGAGAGTTAGAAACATCGATGAGAGAGTCATCGATCAGCTGCCTCTTGCACACCCCCTACTGGGGATATGCCCCCAACTAAGGTACATGCCCTTGACCGGAATCGAACCTGGGTCCCTTCAGTCCCCAAGCCGACGCTCTTTCCATTGAGCCAAACCGGTCTCGGCGGAACTTTCTTTTTTTTTATTTTTATTTTTTATTATTGATTATGGTATCACATAATTGTCCTCATCCCCCCATTCCCATCCCAAACCCCTCCCTACATATGCCCCCACCCCCTGTTGTCCATGGCCACTGGCTAGGCCCATATGCATGCACACAAGTGCTTTGGTTGATCTCTTCCCCTTACCTCCACCCTCAGAGGGAAAGTGTGGAACTTTAGTTTTTTTAGGGCAAGAATTTAATGTAAAGAATAGCGGGTTCTCCTAGTTTGAATGTTTTTTATGTTCTTTAATACTGTGAGAAGCGCTTTGGAGCTTTTGCGAGGCACTATGGATGCCTTGAAAAAATGCGGTTACTGTGATGCAGTCAGAGGTACAATGTCAAAGGGTTTGGACGCCTTGGGGACCCGTGTAGGGAGGAGTCCCCTGACGGGCGGGGTGGGCTCTCACGGCGGGAGGCTGGGGGCGGGAGGCTGGGAGCTGCCGGCGGGAGCAGATGTTGCTCTTTGTAGGAAGGTCTGCAGAGCAGCAGTTCTGCGCCAGGACGGTGTTGCCTCCAGGGACGATGTCTGGAGACAGTTGTGGTGGTTGTTTCTGGGGTTGGATTAGCATCCAATTGCATAGAGGTCGGGGCTGCTGAGCCTTCACAGTGCACAGAACAGGACACCCCCTTCCCTCCCGCCCCCCCAAGAACCATCTGGCCCCAAATGTCAACACTGCAGAGGTTGAGAAACCCTGCTCTGGGGTAAGAAACTGTTCCTCAAGTTGTTTTATTAGAGGACTACCTGCCAAGATCATTCATTTTACTTTGTTCCAAGTCACTACTAACTAAAGAACCCTTTCATGGTAATTTGGTGTTGTTTGTGGACTGTTTTTGTTGGTACCAGAGAGGTTGACCAGTGAGCATTACTTAACAAACTCGTGTGTCATGGTTACTGGGTCAGACACTGTCCAAAGTGCTTATAAATAGTAACATTTGTTATTATTATTTTTATAAATAGTAACATTTAAACACAGGCCTGAGAGACTGGGGACTTGGCCATAGTCACAAAGCTACCCTGTTTCCCCAAAAATAAGACAGTATATTATATTAATTTTTGCTCCCAAAGATGCACTAGGTCTTATTTTCAGAGGATGTCTTATTTTTCCATGAAGAAGAATACGCTGCACATTTATTGTTAAATGAAAATAAAGGAAATTTATTACCTGTATACGGTAGTATGGTAGTTGTCAACACAAACCAGACAAACTGAATCCTACAGTATCAAGAATTTACTCATTTATTCAATGACAATCATGTCATCATCTTCTGGAACATCATCATAACAATCCAATTTCTGAATATCCTGGTGAATTTCTTGTGACTCCATTTCTTTCAGAATCAGTGGACCAAATCTCTCATGTTTAGCCTGGGGGGGGCCTTATTTTTGGGGGGATGCCTTATATTTCACTCAGAAGGAAACCTGTAAGTAGATCTTATTTTCAGAGGATGTCTTATTTTCGAGGAAACATGGTAGATGTGACTTTGGACAAGTTACTTGCCTTTTAGGACTTCATTCCTCCAGGCTGTAGAATGAGAATTAATTGGTCCTAATTTATAAGGATGATGTGTGTGTGTGTGTGTACAGTAAATCCTCATTTAATGTCCTTAATAGGTTGTGACTTAAAGCAAAACGATGTATAACAAAACCAATTTAAAAAAAAATACATTTTATTGATTTTTTACAGAGAGGAAGAGAGAGGGATAGAGAGCTAGAAACATCGATGAAAGAGAATCATCGATCAACTGCCTCCTGCACATCCCCCACAGGGGATGTGCCCACAACCAAGGTACATGACCTTGACCGGAATTGAACCTGGGACCTTCCAGTCCGCAAGCTGACGCTCTATCCTGAGCCAAACCGGTTTCGGCACCAATTTTACCATAGGCTAATTGATATAAATAAGAGTTAAGTTCCTATTTAACTCTTCATTTCATCAATGTTGTAACAAACTAACATTGAACAAAACCATGTCATTCAAGGCAAAGACCTACTACTGGTATATATAAAACATGTTCCACCAGCTGGAGTGGCTCAGTGGTTGAGCATAGACCTATGAACCAGGAGGTTAGGGTTTGATTCCTGGTCAGGGCACATGCCCAGGTTGCAGGCTCGATCCCCAGGGTGGGGCGTGCCAGAGGATGATTCTCTCTCATCCTTGATGTTCTCTCTCTCTCACCCCCTCTCCCTTCCTCTGTGAAGTCAATAAACAAAAATTTAAAAAAAAATTAATTTAAAAAAGTGTTCCTCCCTGCTTCCTACCCTACCCCAACATGCTGGACTGGAAGTTGAAATTCAAAGTAGAGTTTTGAGAGTGCTTTTTGTACATTCAACTTTTGTTAGTTGTAAATATTGTTGTTTCAGATAAACTTAAAATCTCGAGGGGCTAGGAAAGGGAAGGACATCTGTAATAGTGTCAACAATAAAAAATAAAAAAAAGAAAACCTAGAATGTTATAGCTTTCAAAAAACATGAGATTTCTTTGTAATATGATTACAAGGTTTGGTTGTAGTCCTGTTCAGATTGCAGATTGGCGCTGTCTGTCTTTTTTCATCTACAGTTTAAGCTAAAGGACAGCATCCATCAGGAACATGTTCTTTAAGAGGGGATGAAGCCGAGACCAGTTTGGCTCAATGGATAGCTTGGGGACTGAAGGGACCCGGGTTTGATTCCTGTCAAGGACATGTACCTTGGTTGCGGGCATATCCCCAGTAGGGGGTGTGCAAGAGGCAGCTGATCGATGACTCTCTCTCATTGATGTTTCTAGCTCTCTATCTCTCTCCCTTCCTCTCTGTACAAAATCAATAAAATATACTAAAAATAAAAGAGGGGATGAAATTCAGAGAACTGAGGTGACACAGTCTCTCTCTCTCTCTCTCTCTCTCTCTCTCTCTCTCTCTCTCTCTCTCTCTCTCTCTCTCTCTATTTCAGAGAGGAAGAGAGGGAGAGAGAGATAGAAACATCAATGATGAGAGAGAATCATTGATCGGCTGCCTCTTGCACGTCCCCTACTAGGGATTGAGTCCACAACCTGAGCAAGTGCCCTGACTGGGAATCGAACTGTGACCTCCTGGTTTACAGGTTGGATGCTCAGCCATTGAGCCACACGGGCTGGGCAACAGTGCCTCTTAAACTTCTAATGAGACAGGCACATTCATATCCATTCACCAAAGCAAAGTGCATGGCCAAACCTCATGTTAGTAAGGTGAGAGGTATAGCTTGAGCCACATTATATTCCTGTATATGAAGGTCAAAAACAGTTTAATATTAGCAGTTTTATGTAGCTCCTAACGCATGAATGAGTAGCAGCCCACATGAAAATGGGCAATGCTACATAGTGATGGGGAACTGAACAATCAGAAATAAACAACAAAACAGTCTACTTCAGCATGGAAAGAAACCATTGTTTGTAACATTATATCTTTGAAAAAATGTATCTTAAATTCTAAAGAACTCTGTGTACTTGATGGGGCATGTTTGTGTCTACATATATGCATGCACAGGAAGATAAATAAGTATACACAAACTAAATAAACAATATATATTTTTCAATTTTTAGATGAGAAAAACATTAAGTTAGATTTGTTAATTTTTATTTTTATTGTAGGTATATTAAAGCAAGTCAAAGATTACATTAAACAATGTAGCAAATGCCAGGAGAAACTAGATCGCTCCCGTCCAATATCAGATACTTCAGAAATGTTGGAAGAATTAGGACTAGACCTTGAATCTGGAGATGAAAGTAATGAATCAGAGGATGACCTGAGCAACTTTACTTCAACTCCAAGTACAGCCTCCAAGTCTGCAAAAAAGAAGCCAATATCTAAACATGAACTTGTATTTGTAAGTGGAACTTTTCATTCAGCTTTAACATGTTAACTAGTGTCTTAGTGTTTGTAGGCCTTGTGAATTTTTTCTTAAACTACTAAAACTGCTTGAGTATTGACATTGACAGTTGAAGATTTAAGCAGGTCTGCATCTAAGTAATGCACTATGTTGTTATATACACTAAAAGTATCCAATATTGCCTCTTCATTCATCATAAGTATTCCTGTTGTTCTCTTCAGATTGTAACTTGTTAATTACTCCTCTCTTTTTTAACGGTATGTTGGTACAGATAGAATACACTCTGGAAGCGGTCTCTGGGTCATGAAGCAAGGTAAAATTAAGCTGGCTAGGTCTTTGCTAGATTCATTTAGATTCATATGTCATCAAACTTCAGGCTAGTAAGAAAAGGCAGCAAGAACTGAGATGCAGGCTTTCATTGGGTCAAGAAGAGAGTGAAAACAACATATCTTTTCACATAAATACATAGATAATAAAGAAAGACTATCAGGCTATTTCTTAATTAGTGGTATCCTTTAAAAGGGAAGGATGTGTCTTGTCTTAAATTCTGTTAAGGGTAGACATACAGATGTATGTAATACATCTCTTGGTCTCACACTTATTTTGATAGGTTGACACCAAAGGAGTGGTGAAACGTTCTTCTCCAAAACATTGTCAGGCTGTGTTAAAGCAACTGAATGAACAGAGACTCTCCAACCAGTTCTGTGATGTTACTTTGTTAATTGAAGGAGAGGAGTACAAAGCTCATAAATCTGTTTTGTCAGCTAATAGTGAATATTTTCGAGATCTTTTTATTGAGAAAGGAGCTATTTCCAGTCATGAGGCTGTGGTGGATCTTTCCGGTAAGAATTTTCTAATACTCTTGCTTTTTGTTTATAAGTACATACTGGAAGAGGTGTGTGTGTGTGTGTGTGTGTGTGTGTGTGTGTGTGTGTGTTTCTTACAAAGTCAGGGTTTATGCTGAAGTGGGAGAAGCCCACTTATAGCAGCAGACTTAAGCTAAACTAAAAACTGTTAGCAAGGTTTCCAAGGTAGATTTATGGAAAAGGCTGTCATTTCCTATCCACTGCCTCTGAGGCGAGACAATTGTAGCAGTAGAAGATTATCTGGGATTTACACTGTTAAAAACAGATTGAGAAAAGTCCATGACTGCATCAGTGTTATTATACTAAGTAATTATGTTATTTAAAAAATGACTGCCTGTATATTAAGTTGTGGAATATGTGATTATAGAGCACTTTTGAAGGTCTGGTTTGTTTTTGTTTGTTTGAATTACTGACATCACTGTGTAAAGAGTCATTTCTTCTTTCTGAAACAAAAACGTGATTTTGTCCAGGTATATTACTAACACTTAACCTAGTTAACCATTGATCCTTTAATGCCTTATAATTTTTAAACTCATTTCTTCTGGAAAGACAAATATATATATATATATATATATATATATATATATATATATATATATATATATATATATATATTTTTTTTTTTTTTTTTTTTTTTAATATATGCTTAATTATTTAAAATTTGACTTATGTGCTCAGTGATTGTCAACCATGAACCAGGAGGTCATAGTTCGATTCTTGGCCAGGACATATGCACAGGTTGTAGGTTCGATCCACAGTGGGGACGTGCAGGAAGCAGCCAACCAATGATTCTTTCTCATCATTGATGTTTCTCTCTCTCCCTCTCTCTCTTTCTCTCTCTAAAATCAATAAAAACATATATTTTTTTAAAATGTATTTTATTGATTTTTTTACAGAGAGGAAGGGAGAGAGATAGTTAGAAACACCGATGAGTGAGAATTATTGATCAGCTGACTCTTGCATGCCCCCTACTGGGGATGTGCCCGCAACCAAGATACATGCCCTTGATCAGAATCGAACCCAGGACCCTTCAGTCCACAGGCCGACGCTTATCGACTGAGCCAAACCGGTTTCAGCAATAAAAACATATTTAAAATTTTTTAAATTAATCATCTACTGTGTGTAATGAGCTAATGTAGACTCTAGGGATACAATGGTGAGCAAAAACTTTGATGGAGCATAGAGTTGTATAACATTCTATATTAGTGGAGTTGCTTTTTTTCTCTGTTTGGTGACTCAGGAGAAAATACTCCTTGTACTGGGCCATCTTAATAAAACTCATCACAAATACAGTCTTCTTATATTTTAGCTTTGGAATTTTTTTTTCTGTCTTTCTTGCATTTGAAGCAGGAAAAAGCACAAGTGTTTTTCTTTTCCAGTTTCCCAGTATCTTGTAGTAAATTAAATGTCTGCCCCCAAATAACTGCAATATTATACAACCTCTTAATTAAAACAAAAACAAAAAAACACACAACCTCTTTAATTCTTCATTCCATCTGCTTATTTTTATATATGTTAAGCAAATAACATTGCTTTTTTTTTTTTTTTTTAATATTTTTTATTGATTTCAGAGAAGGGAAAGGGAGAAATAGAAACACCAATGATGAGAGAGAATCATTGATTGGTTGCCTCCTGCACACTTCCTACTGGGATTGAGCCCACAACCCAGGCATGTGCCCTTGATTAGAATCGAACCCAGATCCTTCAGTCCTCAGGCCAATACTCTATCCACTGAGCCAAACCAGCTAGGACTGCTAAGCAAATATGTAAGCCAATAGTAGGTGAAGGAGACATTAAAAATTCTCATTTGCTTTAAAAGCTAAATAGATAAAGATAGTTGATAAAATACCAGAGGCCTGGTCCACAAAATTTGTGCACTTGCGGGGAGGAGTGTCCCTCCATCCGCCCCGCACCCTCTTGCAGTCTGGGAGCCCTTGGGGATGTCCGGCTGCCACGGAGGCAGGAGAGGCTCCCGCCACCGCTGCTGTGCTTGCCAGCTGTGAGCAGGCTCTTGCTGAGCAGCGCTTCCCCTATGGGAGCACACTGACCAGCAGGGGCAGATCCTACATTAAGCGTCTGCCCCCTGGTGGTCAGTGTGCATCATAGCGACTGGTCATTCTGCCGTTTGGTCAATTTCCATGTTAGCCTTTTATTATATAGGATGTATGCAGTGCCTGGCTGGTGTGACTCAGTGGTTGAGCGTCAACCTATGAACCAGGAGGTCACAGTTCGATTCCAGGTCAGGGTACGTGCCCTGGATGCAGGCTCATCCCCAGTGGGGGGTGTGCAAGAGGCAGCCATTCTATGATTCTCTTTCATCATTGATGTTTCTATCTCTTTCTCTCCTTTTTCCTTTCTCTCTGAAATAAAAAATATGTATTAAAAAATAAAAATACTTTATAAAAAAAAGTATGTTTTTTTAATTACCTAGCGTAAGTAGTTGAATTCATCAGTATTTTTCTTTATGTTGTTTATACTTCAGAAAATTTTTTCCTACTCATATATATTTTCGTACATTGTCCTTTTACATTTTTCTAGTTTTTCTTTTATGTTTAATTTTATACTATTAAGAATATTAGTATGAGATATAAGTTTTTGAAATAATTTCCTTCCCCATTTTGATCACCACTTGTCTCAGAACCATTTAGTGAATATTCTAACCTCTTCCACCCAAAGACCATGATAATTTTCTTAGAAAACAATTTTCTGCTCTAGCCAGTTTGGCTCAGTGGATAGAGAGCATCAGCCTGTGGACCAAAGGGTCCTGAATTCTATTTCTGTCACGGGCATGTACCGTGGTTGCAGGCTTCTCCCCGGCCCAGACCCCGGTCAGGCCTCACGCAGGTGGCAACCAATCAGTGTGTTTCTCTCACATTGATATTTCTCTCTGTCTTTCCCTCTCTCTTCCACTCTCTCTAAAATCAGTGGGAAAATATCCTCAGGTAAGGAAAAAAAACAAAATAAATTTCCACATGTATTTCATACTGGCTCTAGGTTTTGCTCTAATCAATTGGCTGTTTCTTCCTACGCTCTTTTTAACGTTTTTTTATCCTTATAAGGGCATGTTTCTATGGATTTTTAGAGAAGGAGGAAGGGGGGAAGAGAGAGAAGAGAGAAGAGAGAGAGAGAGAGGAGAGAGAATGACTGCCTCCCATAGGCACCTGGACAGGGGGTTGATCCTGAAACCTTTTGGTGTAAGGGACAGCACTTCAACCAGCTGAGCCACCCTCCAGGGCTTTTGTACACTCTTAAAATTTGGTCTTAATTACCTTAGCTTTATAATAAGGAAAGTGTGCCACCTTTATTATTCAAGTGGGTTTTAGTTACTAAAAATCGATTGCTATTCCATATAAACTGTCAAAGCAGTTTTCCACTTCTACAAAAAGAAAAAATGTATTTTGTTAGAGATTATAATAAAGTTTTAGAGATTTATCCAACAAAGGCCTTACCTATCTTTGCTATACTATTTCAAGGTACTTTATACTTTTTTTAAAAAAATTATTATTTATTTATTATTTTAATTTTAACAAATCTTTTTTAAAACTTATTTTTATTGATTTTAGAGAGGAAGGGGAGAGGGAGAGATAGAAACATCAATGATGAGAGAGAACCATCCCGCATGCCTCCTACTGGGGATCGAGCTTGCAGCCCCGGGCACGTGCCCTTGTCTGGAATTGACCCTGGGACTCTGGTCTGCTGGCTGACGCTCTATCCACTGAGCCCAACTAACCAGGCACTACTTTAAACTTTTTGAAACATTCTCATTTTATATTCTGTGTCTGTTAATCTCTCATAATTTGTTCATTTCTTTATAAATTATTCTGAAAAATTCTAGTACACTCTTTAGTTGTGTCTGATTTGCTTTGAAATTTATTGATTTTTTAAAAAATTCCAATTGATGTTTTCCATTTTAGAGGTTCTTTTAAATTTTAGTTTAGATTATCATTTTTAGGGAGTACTTTTTATGGCCATTTGTTCTACTAGTATGCTACCCTTTGTTTTTCATGTTTGATCATAGCAATACATATATTCTTTGCTGGTTTGATTTATGCTATTTGTTTCTAATAACTTTTGTTCATTGCGTCGTGTTTTTTTGTGATAAAAAAAAAAAAACACAACACCCTATACATACTGAACTCATATTCTTTAGAATTTTATGGAAAATCTTTGAGTCCTAAGTTGATAGTCCTAGAAAAGCATTTGCTTTTTTAGATACTGAGGGCATTAGCAGTCTGGGACCACTTTAAATTCTCATCTTAAGGTGTGTTTTTTTTTGTGGTTTTTTTTTTTTTTTTTTTTATGTTTCTATCTCTCCCGCTCCCTTCCTTTCTGAAATCAATAAAATTAATCAAAGTGCTAAATTAAGCTTGGCTTAATTTGGTGGGGCACTGATTATTTAGAATATTACTTTATAATATTTTTATTTAGTATTTTTTCAAGTATATGAGTCCTTCAGGGCATCTTAATCTACCATACTGTGTGCTGGATGTGGAAGTACCTGTCATAAGTTTTTATTTTTTTTAAATTTTTTGTGTGTAGGGTTTAGTTTTACATTTTGTTTTATTTTTTAAATTAAATTTTATTTTTTGTTAATCTTTGAGGATGTTTTTCCATTGGTTTTTAGGGAGAGTGGAAGAGAGAAGGAAAAACAGAGAAACATTGATGTGAGAGAAACACATCGATTGGTTGCCTCCTGCATGCCCCACACGGGGGATCGAGCCTGCAACCCAGACATGTGCCTAATCAGAATTGAACCGTAGCCTCCTGGCTCTCATAAGTCAGTGCTCAATCACTGAGCCAAACTAGCTGGGCATGTTGTCCATTTAAAATGTTTTAAAATTTTCATAAAAATACATAATAGAAAATTTCCTGGCTTGGTAGCTCGGTTGGCTTTATCCCCATAGCTAAGGTTGCAGGTTTGATCCCAGTTAGGAATCAAACATTGAATGCATAAATAAGTAGAACTGCAAATCCATATTCCTCTCCCTCTCCTCTATCTCTCTAAAATCAATAAAATAAAAAGAAGTCCTGGCTGGTTTGTGTTCAGTGGTTAGAGCATTAGCCTGCAAAAAGGCTCCCAGGTTCGATTACCACTCAAGGGCAAGTATCTCACTTGCAGGCTCAACCCAGATCAGGGTTTGAACAGGAGGGAACCAACCGATATGTCTCTCTCACATCTGTTTCATCTTGCAAAATTACCCGTTTCCTTCTCATTTACACAGTGTGTATATGTGTATGTAAAAAGGCTAGAGGTAAAAACAGAATACCAAAATTATGTCTTACCTTTTAACAGTAAAATTATGATTGATTTTTTATTTTTGTTTTCCTAATTTGTGTATGTCTTATAATATTTTTAAAAGTGGTTCTTTTTTGAAAAAAATTTAATTATTGATTTCAGAGAGAAAGAGAGATGGAGAATGAGATAGAAACATCAGTGATGAGAGAGATTCATTGATCCACTGTGCCCCACACTGGAGATGAAGCCCACAACTCAGGGATATGCCCTGACCAGGAATCAAACCATGACCTCCTGATTCATAGGTCGATGCTCAACCACTGAGCCATGCCAACTGGGCTGTCTTATAGTATTTTACATAAGACAGGATTTTCTTATAGTATTTAAGAAAAGCTACAAGTTGTAGCTTTGAAAAAATGGTTTCAGATAAGTCAAAAGTGTTATTTGGAACAGTGTTAATTCTTTTGTGGTAAAATTTTCTTATGGCTTCAAACTTAGAAATTAAAAAGATAGTAGGTAAAATACCAACATACATTATTATGTGTGTGTGTGTTTTTTAAAGAAATATTCTTTCTATCCAGGTGGTGAGGCTCAGTGTTTGACCCCTGACCTATGAACCAATAAGTCACAGTCCCATTCCTGGTCAGGGCACATGCTGGGGATACATGCTTGATCCCCAGTGTGGGGAGCAGCTGATCAATGAATCTCATCATTGATGTTTCTATCTCTCCCCTCCCTCTCTAAAATCAATTAAAAATATATATATAAAGAAATATTCCTTCAGGCTTTTTTAACTTGGTCTCATAATTTATAGCATGATTAATATGATTATAGCCTATTTAATTACAGTTTTCATAGGAATGGCAGAAATAGCCATGATGATAATGTTGGTGTGTAGCTTCCTCAGTGTTCAACCTGATCCTAATGTATCTTACAGTTTATGGCTTCCATGTATACTTGTGCTCTCCATCTGCCTATGAAAAAGGACAGCATTTTATGTAGCTTGAGTCAAAATTAAATAATGCAGCAAATGTGTGTGGGTTTTTGTTTTTTTTTAATATATTTTATTAATTTTTTACAGAGAGGAAGGGTGAGGGATAGAGAATTAGAAACATCGATGAGAGAGAGACATCGATCCGCTGCCTCCTGCACCCCCTCCACTGGGTACGTGCCCGCAACCAAGGTACATGCCCTTGACCGGAATCGAACCCGGTACCCTTCAGTCCCCAAGCCGACGCTCTATCCATTGAGCCAAACCGGTTTCGGCAAATGTATGTTTTTAAAAAGTTGCTTTGACTCCTCTTTATTTTAAAATATATATATTTTTATTGATTTTAGAGAGGAAGGAAGAGAGAGAGAGAAACATAAATGTTGAGACAGAATCATCGATCGGCTGCCTCCTGCATCCCCTTGTCTGGGGATGGAGCCTGCAACCTGGGTATGTGCCCTTAACCGTAATCAAACTTGGGCTTTTCAGTCCACAGGCCTGTGCTCTATCTGCTGAGCCAAACCAGCTAGGGCTTGCTCTATATTTTAATAAAAGATCTCTAAGATAGCCCCGCTGGTGTGCCTCGGTTGAGCGTCAACCTATGAACCAGGAGGTCACAGTTTGATTCCCAATCAGGATACATTCCCAGGTTTTGGGTTAGGTCCCTGGCGGGGGGAGGGGTGGGCAATCAATCAATCTCTCTTATCATTGATGTTTCTGTCTCTTTCCTTCTCCCTCTCTAAAATTAATTTTAAATATATATATATATATTTAATATATTTTATTGATTTTGTACAGAGAAGGGAGAGAGATAGAGAGTTAGAAACATCGATGAGAGAGAGTCATTGATCAGCTGCCTCTTGCACACCCACTACCGGAGATATGCCCGAAACCAAGGTACATGCCCTTGACTGGAATCGAACCCGGGACCCTTCAGTCCCCAAGCCGACGCTCCATCCATTGAGCCAAACCGGTCTCGGCAATTTTAAAATATTTTAATAAGTTCTCTAAGATAAATTATTACATATGAAAAGTAAGACACAGTAGAGTATAATAAGATACCTCCTGTAAAAAAAGGAAAATAAGAATGTTTGCTTGACTTTATAAAGAAACTCTGGAAAGCTATACAAATTCTTAAAAATACTGGTTATGGAGATGGAGTTAGACATATCACTATAATTTTCTGATTTTTGAATCATGAATATAATTAACATGGCTTTTGAAAGCGAAGTATTGAGAACTTAGAAATAAATTGATTTAAAAAAAATAAATTGATTTTATTTTTTCACATAAAATAGGAATGTAATACCTCATGTGTACAGTAATTATTTCATTCCTTAGACCAGGAATAAGCAAACCATAGCCCAATCCTTTTTCTCGTGTTTTTTTTTTTTTGTAAATAAAATTGTATTAGAACACAGCCACACCCAGCTGTATATGTATTATCTATGACTACTCTTTCTAGCTATAATGACAGAGTTGAGTAGTTACATTTTATGACCTGTACTATTGTCTAATTCTCTATAGAAACATTTTGATAACATCCTACGTTATACCTTGTTTTTGAATATTTAGTATTAGAACTCATTGTTCACAAGAAATTTTTTATGGACTTCTATTAAAATATGCAGCTATACATATGAAGTGAGGTTAGGAGACAAGTTGGTTGAACCCTGCCTACTCACCTGCATCCCTCTCTTTTTTTACCCTCCGTTCTCCAGCAGCTGTTTCTTGAGGGGAATTTGAGGAACCCCCGGGGTTCTAAGGAGTACAGTTTGAAAATGACTGCCTTACAACAACTCTTTGAGGTAGTAAGTCTGATATTATTTTCTATTTTAGGTATTGAGAGAGTCGGCTTATAGAAGTGAGTTAGTCAAGGCTTAATACGCAACCAGAACACAAAAACAAATCCAGGGTGTTTAATTGCAGAATAAATGGTCATGTTTGCCTTTATATTCTATTTTATATTGTCATAATCTTGTATTAATTGTTCTTACAAGGTGTGTTCCTGGTGATTTGACTTTTTTTGTCCCCCATCTGTCTTGTTTCATATAGGTTTCTGTAAAGCAAGCTTCCTGCCTTTACTGGAATTTGCCTATACTTCTGTGCTAAGTTTTGATTTCTGTAGCATGGCTGATGTAGCCATCTTGGCTCGGCATCTCTTCATGTCAGAAGTTTTAGAAATTTGTGAAAATGTACATAAACTAATGGAAGAGAAGCAGCTAACGGTATATAAGAAGGGTGAAGTACAAACAGTTGCATCTACACAGAACTTGCCAGAACAAAACAGAGATACAGCACCTCCTGTGGTTAACAATGAGGGAACCAGCACAGCTTTACCTTCTGACCTTGGGGATTGTGAAATTGTGCTGTTGGTGAATGGAGAAGCGCCAGAAACTGAGCAGCACGGAGAGCCCAGACAGCAGCCTGAGCCCCAGGTCTCTGCAGAGGCTGAGGCTGCCCCGTCACCTTCGCCTGCAGGCTGTGCAGCTGATCCTCATCCTGAAGTGGAGTCTGTCGGTTTAGTGACAAAAAACAACCAGACAGAACTAGAAACTGAAAACAGCAGAGAAGGTAGCACAGTTTCTAATATTTGTCCTAAGCTTTCCAAAGAGAATGAAATCAGTGGCTCTCCAAAAAACAGTGATATGGGAAATGATACATCAAATGAGGATATTTGTGAAGACATTCCAGAGCATAGGCAGAGCCTTGGCCAGTCTTTAAAAGATCAGGAAAATCTAGTTGCAAAGACAGACCTCAGCCCTGATGATGATACTTACAGAAGCAGGCTTCGACAGCGTTCTGTCAACGAAGGGGGATATATTCGACTACACAAAGGAATGGAGAAAAAGCTGCAGAAACGGAAAGCCACTCCCAAGTCAGCAGTCCAACAGGTATGATGCAGAGTTGGCGTTTGTAGTTTTAGCTTTAATTTGAAAGTATTTTATGGATAAACTTACATGTATGGTGAAAATTATGGGGTAGAGGATAAGTAAGTATTGGAAAGCAACTTCAAGTTTAATACCAATATAATAAGATATATGAATTTGCATTATTTATGATTCATGACTTAAAAATAAAAATGATTAATATTTACTTAGATTGTGTTTTCTATCCCTTACTTAGGTAGCCCAGAAATTAGTTCAAAGAGGAAAAAAGATGAAACAGCCAAAAAGGGATGCTAAAGAGAATACTGAAGAAGAAGCATCGCATAAATGCGGGGAATGTGGAATGGTTTTTCAGAGAAGATACACGCTTATAATGCACTCACTGAAACATGAAAGATCTAGAGATTACAAATGCCCGGTAAGTATCTGAACTAATTAAAGATGGTCTAACTTTGTGATAAGTGGAATCTAACTTACTGCTTCATTGTTTTTCTGCCATTTGTGTTCTATGTGTCTGACTCCCTTATCCTATGTAATAAAAGGCTAACACGCAAATCGACTGAAGGGTGGGCCCACCCGTCGGGGGCAGCTCCTGCCTTGAGTGTCCACCCCCTGGTGGTCAGTGCCCATTATAGCAACTGGTCGTCATCCCCTGAGGGGTCCCGAACTGCGAGAGGGCACAGGCCCGGCTGAGGACGCCCCCACCCCACCCCAGTGCACGAATGTCATGAACCAGGCCTCTAGTATTACTATAAGGCTTATCCTCTGATTTGTACTTGTGTTTCTTTGACAAAAAATATATTAGTGATATACCTCTACTTCTTCCTGATGCTAGTGAGACAGTAAAATTATCATTTTAAAAATGTAAGTTCTTGCCCTAGCTGGTTTGGCTCAGTGGATAGAGCATTGATCTGTGGACTGAAAGGTCCCAGGTTTGATCCTAATCATGGGCACATGCCCGGGTTGTGGGCTCAATCCCCAGTGTGGGGCATGCTGGACGCAGCCAATTAATGATTCTGTCTTATCATTGATATTTATCTCTCTCCCTTTTCCTTCCTCTCTGAAATCAATAAAAATATATTTAAAGAAAAAAAAAGTTTTCTAGCAGGGCACACACAGTGTCCATGGAAGGAAAAAATAAATAAGCTCAAAGAGAATAGGAGAGGAGAACTTAGCAACTAAATTCTAGACTCTGATAAATAGATGGAATAACTGATTCAACAGATTATTTAAAAAGGCTCATTGCCAGGCTTTCAGTGAGGAAAGCTAAGAATCGGTCAAAATTGTATTGCAGAACTACTAAACAGCTTAGGAATCAGTATTACTAGCTGTCTTAAAAGGAGAAGTGATTCTGGTTGTTAGAAAGTCTTTTTGAGAGGCAATTAAGTCCCCACCACCACTTCCTCAGAAAAAAAAAAATTCATCCTTTACATTCAAGAAAAGATAAAATTATAATTTTCTGGGGAATACTGTATATAGAGAGGGTAAATGTACTATACCCAAAACAAGGAAAAGTAAAAGCTTCCGTACTGAATATTAAGATTTTTCAAGTTGTCTTTTCCCTAAACAGTTCTTAGCATGTTAACAGTCAGGTTTTTACCTTGAAAGCAGAAAAACTTCCGATATGAGAAATCCAAAGTCCATAAACAAAAGACCTAAAGATACTTCTAACTAAAGCCCGTGGTTAATGCCACTCCCCACTTTCACAGAAATTCCAATTCATCTGTTTATTTTATTTTATTTTTTTAATATATTTTATTGATTTTTTTACAGAGAGGAAGGGAGAGAGATAGAGAGTTAGAAACATCGATGAGAGAGAGTCATGGATAGGTTGCCTCTTGTACACCCCCTACTGGGGATATGCCCGAAACCAAGGTACATGCCCTTGACCGGAATCGAACCCGGGACCCTTCAGTCCCCAAGCCGACGCTCTATCCATTGAACCAAACCGGTTTCAGCCCAATCCATCTTTTTAAACATCTTATTCTGAAATGTGAATGGACACCAGGGATAATCAGACTCATGATAAACATTTCAAGAGGAAAAACAACTTTTGAGGAATCCAAGACTATGCAGAAAGAAGAAAGCTTTAAAACAAAAGCAAACAAACAAACATAAAAAAAACAGAGCCCTAACTGGTTTGGCTCAGTGAATAGAGTCTCGGCCTGCAGACTGAAGGGTCCCAGGTTCGATCCCAGTCAAGGGCATGTACCTGGGTTGTGGGCACATCCCCAGTAGGGGGTGTGCAGGAGACAGCTGATTGATGTTTCTCATCAATGTTTTTAACTCTCTATCCCTGTCCCTTTCTCTCTGTAAAAAAAATCAATAAAATATATTTGAAAAAAAACACACAAAAAACCAAAACAGACTTCCAGTGAAGATGGTAGGTAAGTGTAGAAGTGTGATGCTCGAGTCCTTCCACATTCGCATAAAAAATACAGAACAACCATCATTCAGAACCCCCTGAAATCTAGATGAATGGAAGTTCTACAACTAGGGATTTAAAGAAGAAGCCACACCAAGATTGAGAGGAGGGGCAGAGATGCAGAATGGACTGATCTCACATCCACAAGTGGCAGCTTTAAATCAGGAAGAATGGCTTGGCTGGTATGGCCTGGTTGGGCATCATCCCTGCACCAGGAGGTTTCTGGTTTGAGTCCTGGGTAGGGCACATGCCTGGGTTGCTGGCTTGACCCCCGGTAGGGGGTATGTAGGAGGTAGCAAATCGATGTTACTCTCCCATCAATGTTTCTCCTCCTTTCCTCTCTCTCTACTCTTTAAAATTAAATAAAATTGGGAGGGATACCTTACCCCTCTGAGGAGTAAGACGCCATAGCCTCAACCAGATACCCAACCCAGGTTTTCAGTGCCAGGAAGAGGACTGGCTATAAAAACTGGTGGGGTGGGGGTGGGGGAGCATGTGTAGCTGAGTGGAATAGAGGACTGCCAGAATCCCAGGCAGTTCCTCTTAAAGGGCCTGAACTCAGACTCACTTTCTCTGAGCTCTATTGCTGGGGCAGCAGCTTTAACAGACTGGGATTACAGGGATGAACTTATTTTTCTTTTTTGGCACCAGCATGAGAGTTTCCTGTCAGACAAAAGGATTGGTAGAGTCCATTGTTCCTTTTCTGAGACGCCCACACCCATAGAGCTGACAGATAGGGATCATATCTGAGACTCCATCAACCTGGCTCACACTTTTCCCTGCCTGGAGATTCCTTGAGGCCTAACCTTTAGGCCCATCCAAGCTATTTCCAGTGGCTTTTCCATACAACTGACTCCTCTTGCCTCCTGCTTCAAACTTTCCTAAAAACTCTCAAGCAGCCTCTGTATAGTCCATGCCTCTTGCTAAGTGCCACAGACCCATCACTAGCTGCAGCCTGCCTTGGTTCACGGTTTGGTCTCTCTTGGGCATCTCCTATGCTAACACAGTAGCAGCCATTTGCAGATTGCTCTGTAGCTATGCCCCAGGCAGGGCATAGATGTTTGACTTAGCACCACAGCCAGTGCATTTGTTGGACAGCTTCAGACCATACCAGGTTATAACCCTGCCACCTCCATGAGAGACCCTCCAAGTGGGGAATCAGTAAGCACCAAAGCCCTACTGAAGCAAGTCCTGCTCTGTAAGGTTGTCTGCACAGCAGCTCCCTCACTACTCGCAACTAGTCCTCACATCACTGGAAGGGAATGACCCCTAGTCATTCCCTTCCAGTGATGCCAGCAGCAATCAAAGCTCAGTTATAACGGGGCAATGCGCACAGCCCACAGAGGCACACTTGGAGCACCCAACTCGGGTGACTGGAGGATGCTTACTGTACAAGGCTCTTCTACTAATTCAGGAGATATAGCAACTGGTAGAGGTGATTGGGGGGCGGGGCTGGACAGCAGGCAGCACCAGGTTGCCAGCCAAGGCAGGCGGTAGTGGGGCCCTTCAATTGCCCCACCCACCAGTCACCCCACACATGGCCCTGATTGCCAACAGTTTCTTAGATTTAAAATTAAAACCTGGCAAGGCTACTCTAACACTGAAATAACAGGATGATGCAGTGAGACATGCATGGATTCTGGCTTGCACATTTTGTGATCAGCCCTTATTCTGACACTTGTGACATAGCCAATTTCTCTCTGCTTCAGTTTTTTCACCCATAAGATGGGGAAAATGGTACTACTGCCTTAGAAGGATCATGTTATGTACTACTTTTTATTAAAAAATATATATATTTTATTGATTTTTTTTACAGAGAGGAAGGAAGAGGGATAGAAAGTTAGAAACATTGACTAGCTGCCTCCTACATACCTCCCACTCAGGATGTGCCCACAACCAAGGTACATGCCCTTGACCGGAACCGAACCGGGGATCCTTCAGTCCGCAGTCCGCTGTTCCATCCACTGAGCCAAGCCGGCCAGGGGTTTTTTTTGAGAGAAGGTGGAAGAGAGGGGAAGGGGAAGGAACAGAAAGAGAAAAATACCAATTGGTTGCCTCTTACACACACCCCCACCGGAAAAAGGTATCAGCCTACACCCGAAATACGTGCCCTTGACCAGAATTGAATCTTCAACCCTTTAGTTTGCAGACCAGAACCTGAGTGAAACAGGCTGGGGCTAAATATTTATTTAGTTTTGTTTTTTGTTAATCCAAGATGATGTGTTTTAAATCTCTCAGTAGACATTTGGGGAAAGGGTTTAATGATGACTGATGAATTAGCAGTAAATACAGAGCAGTAAGCAAAACAGAAAACAAAAAGAATCATAGTGTATCATATTAATAACATTTATTTTTTAACTGAACCTTTTTTAAAAATATATTTTGTTGATTCTTACAGAGAGGAAGAGAGGGATAGAGAGTTGGAAACATCGATCAGCTGCCTCTTGCACACCCCCTACTGGGAATGGGCCCGCAATCAAGGTACATGCCCTTGACCAGAATCAACCTGGGACCTTTCAGTCCGCATGCCAACACTCCATCCACTGAGCCAAACCGGTTTCAGCTGTAATAACATTCACATCATCTAAATAACGTAAACTGAAGTAGATCTAATAGAAATTATAATATTGAAAAAGTAGGATAATATTGCATATGTGTGGAGAATGGGGGTAAGGGAGAGAGAGTGTCACTGTCTATTATTATTGTTACTTGGAGTTATAAAGATAAACATCATGAGAGAGAAAACAAACCAAAAACAAATGAAAGAGGTAGTGGATCAAAAAATGAGTTTTATTTATTTTTTTAACAATAAGTTTTGTTACCCTGCCAGTTTGGCTCAGTGGATGGAGCATCGGCCTGCAGACTGAGGGGTAGTGGGTTCTGTTCCGGTCAGGGGCACATGCCGGGTTGAGTGTTCAGTTCCCAGTGTAGGGTGTGCAGCTAATCGATGATTCTCACCTTTGATGTTTCTATCTCTCTCAAAAACATATTAAAAAAACAAAACAAAACAATGCTGCCCTTGCTGGTTTGGCCCAGTGGATAGAGTGTTGGCTTGTGGACTGAGAGATCCTGGGTTCGATTCCAGCCAAGGGCACATACCTGGGTTGCGGGCTTGATCCCCAGTGGGAGATGTGTGGAGACAGCCGATCAATAATTTTCGCTCATAATTGATGTTTCTCTCCCTCCCTCCCTCCCTCCCTCCCTCCCTCCTTCCCTCCCTCCTTTCTTCCTCTCTGAAATCAATAAAGAAGTATATATTTTTTTAAATGCTGAAAAATAAGTTTTGTAAATGGTGAGCATATATAACTTGGATTTCATGAATCCTCAGCAACGACCATCACAGTTTTATTTTTCTACTTTTTCAAACCCCTATTTTTGCTCTATTAACAACGGTTAATACTCCTTAATGATAGCATTCTTCAGTCTCTGTCTCTGTCTCTGTCCTACAATTTCTTTAAGGCGGACCTAGCCTCCTCAGTGAGGCTTTTATTATCCAGATTACTCCTTCTTAAATATTTTACCTTCATTTTTGTGTAAGTTTGGTGTCTGTGGTTAGATTATAAATCTCTCCAGAGGAGAGGCTGGGCCTTATTACCCTTTTTGCTTTATAATCTGGTACTTGTAGCATATTGTCTTTTACATAGTCTGTGTGTTTATTGATTTATATAATTGTAACATAGAAATGGGAAGTTGACATATGAGTCAAGTTTCACTTAATATTTATTATGAAATTACATTTAGAATTTTGTTTACTTTTTCTTTTAGCTGTGTAAGAAACAGTTTCAGTACAGTGCCTCCTTGAGAGCACACCTTATTCGACATTCCAGAAAAGTTGCACCCTCTTCATCATCTTCCAATTTCACATCCAATGAGGCATCAGGAACATCGTCTGAGAAGGGCAGGACCAAACGAGAATTTATATGTTCCATATGTGGAAGGACATTACCTAAATTATATTCTCTTCGAATACACATGTTAAAGCACACTGGTGTAAAGCCACATGCATGCCAGGTAAAGCCATAACATTTATTTTGTTATATAAAGAAGATTGAAATTTAAGTGGTGTTGAGACCAATTGATTCTGGAGTCACCCTTACTCTTAAAAAATGTCACAAGGAATTCTATGACATTTTTAGTTTGTTGCCTGGGTAAAGGATGATTCCTAATTGTGTTCTTTAATTTGCTGTTTAATTTATTATAATTTTAAATGAATCTATTTAGAATGTTCATGGAATTCATAAAGATATAGGGATGTACTGGGTGAGAATCATCATCCCAGTCATCCCTTAACCTTCAGCAGGACTAACCTGGACTCAAAAGGAACCTAGGGTTTAGACAAATCTCCTTAGCTAAATCCTCTGTGCTGTGTAGCCACTAGTGCTTAGGAGGACTGAGGGTACAAATATCAAAATATGACTCTTAAGTAAATAATCCTATGATTAGCCAACATTGGCTCTTCTCTTCTCTTCTCTTCTCTTCTCTTCTCTTCTCTTCTCTTCTCTTCTCTTCTCTTCTCTTCTCTTCTCTTCTCTTCTCTTCTCTCTCTGTTTTGTTTTAGCCTTTTATTACATGAGAATCCTAACTAATAAAGAGGGAATATGCTAATTAACTGCCACAGCCACAAGATGGCAGTGCCCAGTCCCCTTAGCCTCACCGGGGTGGCAGGCATGCATCACAGGCAGGTCCAGCCACTCCGCGCACCTGCCTCTAGAGTCCCCCAGTTCCTTCACACCCCCAGCCGCCCAGGGCTGGTGGAGGCACAGGTAACCAGGGCCGGCCCCGGCTTGTGCTGCTGTCAGAGGTGTGATGGGGTGTCACCTTCCCCTGATTGCAGTTTCACCTCCGGCCTTTGAGGGTTCCCAGACTGTGAGAGGGGGCAGGCCAGGCTAAGGGAATTTTCATGCACTGGGCCTCTAGTAGAGTATAAGAGCTTGAAATAGGTCCTATGTATCCTTCATCCAGATTCAGTAGTTATCAACATAAGGTCAATGGTCAAACTAAGTATTATTTGGCCTCTGGTCTTCTAGTATAGTATAGCACTACTCAAAATGTGTGGTCTATGGAAGATAACTACAGAAATGAGAATAAGCTTTTTAAAACTGTTATTGACAGTGTTGAGACATTTTTATTGCATTTAACAAAAATCTCTTCCCCAGTGGATTTCGGTGGCCGGGGAGTGGGGGGGAGGGGCACTGGTTCTTCATCACAGAGTTTGAGAAGCACTGCTCTAGCTGGTGTAGCAGAAAATTAGTATATATATATATTTTTTTACTGAGCTCCATGTCTCTTTTAATACAAAAACAGCATAAGGTTTTGCTTTGAGCTCTGCCAGTGATCACGTGGGTATAAGAAAAATAGTAATATTTTGAAATCAGAAGATGATCAACTAGCAAATACTTTTGGCATTTGTTTCAACTTTCACTCTGTCGTTTTGTTTATAATTTAAGTTTTTAATTTAAAATGGCATACAGATCTCTCTGTCTTCATTCTTCAGACAGAGCTTCTATCTGCTTTTCAGTTTTACTGTTTTGAATACCTGTGCTGTCTTAGGTCTGTGGGAAGACTTTCATCTACAAACATGGTCTGAAATTACACCAGAGTCTCCATCAATCACAAAAGCAGTTCCAGTGCGATCTATGTGCTAAGTCATTTGTTACCAAACGGAGTCTTCAAGAACATATGAGTATTCACACAGGTAATGAGGAATTTATATTTCTATTGACATAATTCCTGAATGGGACAAAAGTAGGTTTACAATTATGAGCATGGAGAAGAGCTTATTCTTGTATTATTATTTATTAATGGCTATATTATTTTCCATTGGAACAAACCTACTTTAAAGCCACCCTGTTTATATTATATACTATTAATTTATTATATTAATTATTCTGTGATTATTTCAGAAATTATATTGGTATACTGATGACTGTATGTGTGCAGTGTTTCATTAATGAGAATAAAGCTAAAAGATGTTCTTAAATCTAGTTTTAGAGCTATATTATTTATGTAAAAATATTCATTGTTTTCGTCAGCATAGAAAAATGTATACTGAATGTTAAATCATGTATAATTTAATTACTTTTTAAATATATTTTTATTGATTTCAGAGAGGAAGGGAGAAAGAGAGATAGAGACATCAGTGACAAGAGAGAATCATTGATCAGCTGCTTCCTGCACACCCCACATTGGGGATTGAGCCAGCAACCCGGGCATAAACCCTAACTAGGAATTGAACCATGACTTCCTGGTTCATAGGTTGATGCTCAACCACTGAGCTACACCAGCCGGACAAATCATGTGTAATTTAGATGGAGGCACCTATAGAAATGGTCATGCTTTTAAAAAGTTACATTGTAGGCAAATGTAACTGTCAACATGTTATGCGGCTTATAATTTCATTAAAATTTTATTTTACACATGTTTATTTTCAAATGCTCAAAGCAGTTATGTGGAAATGCCTAATGAAGGGTAGATATCTAGTTGGTCCGAAGGTTGTGGGTTATTGTTAAGCTGAAGGGTAGATATCGCCTCTAGAACTTGTATTCAGCTCTTACTTTACATTCCAGATAATTATGAAATGTATCACATTCTTTGTTTAGCAGTAGCCTTGCTAGCTCTGTAGCTGAGAGGAAGGAGGGATTTTGATGTGGTTTGTTGTTATTCTTAGAGGGTGGCTGCCAAATGTTTTATCTTCCATGTCCCTTTGATAAAATAACCTCTGAAATACGACGTAAGACATTCTATTGGAAGAGCACATGATTGTTGGATTTGTGACATGGTTTTATTTTTATAGGAGAGTCCAAGTACCATTGCTCAGTGTGTGGAAAGTCTTTTCACAGGGGCTCTGGCCTCAGCAAGCACCTAAAGAAGCACCAGCCGAAGCCCGAGGTTCGAGGCTATCACTGCACTCAGTGAGTGTTCACTGCGCAATGGGTGAACCGCTCCAGTAATGTCTTCATGTTCGGCTAAGTTTGTTTGTTTTCAAAAGAAAATATTTGAGGGGCTATAATTGATAACCACCTGTATTGTATAGTTGCATTTGCTAAGAGTAGAACTTACACACACACACACACACACACACACACACACCTCCAAGAGGCTAGATGTGCTAATTAACTGGGTGGAGGGAATCCTTTCACAATGTAGTATACATATATCAATTCATCATTACACTTTAAATATCTTTAATTTTTTTTGTCAGTTATACCTCAATAAAACTGGAGGAAAAATATTTCAAAATAATATTAAACGGTTATTTGTTTCTTCTTGATTCTAATCCCCATTTTTATCTAGGTATTTATACTTACTATTTTTTAAAGTTTTATTTAGAAATTAATCACATACCGTACAAATTCCCATTTGAAATGATTTAGGCTGCCCACCTGGCCCGACTACACTTATGGGGTCAGTGCTGCCACAGCCCTGGAGCCAGAGATCCAGGGCGCCTTCCCCCAGTCAGGGCCCCTGGCATGGGCCAGCGTCCCTCCTGCCCATCCCGAGTCCAAGCTGAACCATAGACACCTGGGTCCTGAATGGCCTCCTGGCACCCAGCATCAGGGTCATCTCCTTCACGCAGAGTGGCATGGCTTCTTCCTGCTGGGCTGCCTGTGGGTGGGGTGTGACCACAGGTGTGGGCACCGATCTGGCCAGTGGCGTGCTGTGGGCATCTACATGGGTCAGCTGGAGCTGGAGCTGGAACTGGTGCCTGATGAAGCTGGCAGCTCGAATGAGCAGCCGGGGCCACGGGGAATGGGCTGGTGCTGGACACCATTCCAAGGACCAGGACATTAAAACCGGTGATTAAAGCGAGTCTTCAAATACAGCACCTGGGTACCGTGTGGTATGAGGGAAGAGTGATCCCTGGGCCAGCCAGAGTTTCTAGGCAGCTTCTCTGGAGTGCTGGGCCCTCTGCTAGTTTATCTTCCTTCAGACTCCTTTACTTTCTGCCTCTCTTGATTTCTCCAAAACCTCCTGAAATTATTTTTTTAATTGAGGTAAAATTCATGTAACATAAAATTCATCACTTTAAAGTGTATAATTCAGTGGCTTTTAGTACATTCACACTGTTGTGCAAGCATTACCACTTTATTTTTCTTTATTGATTAAGGTATTACATATATGTCTTTATCCCTCATTGCCCCCCACCCCCTACCACCACTTTCTTTAAAAAAAAAAAAAGTTTTTATTTTTAGAGAGAGAGGAGTGAGGAATAGAGAGACAGAAGCACTGATGATAGAGAAACATTATCTATCATTGCCTCCTGCACACCGCTTACTAGGGATCAAGCCTGAAATCCGGGCATGTGCTCTGACCAGGAATTGAACTGTGATATCTTGGTTTATGGGTTGATGATCAACCATTGAGCCACACCAGCTGGGCAGCATTACCACTTTCCAATGACAGAATGCCTTCAACACTCGGCCAGGCAGTTCACAACTGTGTCTTGGTTTGCTCTTCCTGTTTGTGCAGAGTCAACCAGAGGTGAGAGCTTAGGGCCTTGTCAGGTCTTTCCTGAGTGTGCACAGCCCTGAAAAAGTGTGTGGACTTCTAGATTCCCAGGAATTTGTGGTTTTTAAAAATATATTTTATTGATTTTTTTTACAGAGAGGAAGGGACAGAGAGTTAGAAACATTAATCAGCTGCCTCTTGCACATCCCCCATTGGGGATGTGCCTGAAACCAAGGTACATGCTCTTGACTGGAATTGAACCTGGGACCCTTCAGTCCACAGATCGATGCTCTATCCACTGAGCCAAACTGGGTAGGGTATGTGAGAATTTTTCAAAGCCCCTATTCCCCAAAGCATTTTTCCTTCGATTGACTTAGGCTGAGTCAGTTGCTCCATGCATATAGTTAAGGTGAGGCCTACTCCCAACACATGAAGAGAGAATGGGAGATGGTAAAGAAGGAGATCAGTTGGGACTGAGGAGGAGACAAAAAGTATATGTCCTCTGTTTGGGAGGTCTGCATGATTCTTTCTAAAATGTTTCCAGGTAGGGCCAAAAGAACTTAACATCCTGCAGCCTTATTACAAGATTGGACTACTAGTGAACTCTTTTCTTAAATTGGGATCATCCTGTGGAGTTCTAGAAACCCAAGAATATTCTAAATTCTTGAAGCTTGTTTTAAAAGAATAATAAGATGATCCAATTGGGTGGTTGAATTTTATTATTGCAGATGTGAAAAAAGTTTCTTTGAAGCTAGAGATCTTCGTCAGCACATGAACAAACATCTTGGTGTGAAGCCATTTCAGTGCCAATATTGTGATAAGTGCTATAGTTGGAAGAAAGATTGGTATTCCCATGTGAAGTCTCATTCTGTCACTGATCCTTATAGGTGAGTAAATCTGAGAAGGATCTTAACTACTTTATTCACACACTGAGCCAAACACACACACACACACACACACACACACACACACACACACACACACACACACACACGCCTATGTATGTGGTCGTCATGCCCTCACACCCTGATGCTCTCACATGGGGACAATATATCACCAAGAGCTGTGTGTGCAGCGGGTGCACACAGGTGGGCAGGGCTGAATGCATGCGGAGCCACAGAGGCGAGTCCTGGCAGCTCTACCTCCTAATGGCAAAGCCTGGGGTCCCCTGGCTCCAGCCTCCCTCTTTGGGGAGATCGATCACACTGTGAGGGGGCATAGGCAAGGCTGGGGAACACCCCTCACCCTTGAGCGCACAAATTTTGTGCACCAGGCCTCTACTATATATATATTCACACACATATACTTGAATTGTGCTTTCAATTTTTTCTCTCCATTTTAGATGTAATATATGTGGCAAAGAGTTTTATGAAAAAGCATTGTTCAGAAGGCATGTAAAGAAAGCTACCCACGGGAAAAAAGGAAGAGCAAAGCAAAACCTAGAACGTGTCTGTGAACGATGTGGAAGGAAATTCACTCAACTGAGAGAGTATAGGAGACACATGAACAATCATGAAGGTAACTGGGTAGCTATATAATATAGATAAATATATAGAGAATAAAAGACAATCCAGTACTGATACTCCCTTTTTCAGCCCTCTTGTTTTTTACCTCACCTTCCATACAAGTTTTTTTCAAGTGATAGAGGTGATTCTGAACCTGAGTATCTAACTAAGCTTAATATTCTTTTTTAAAAAAAAAAAAATGTTTTATTGATTTTTTTTACAGAGAGGGAGGGAGAGAGATAGAGAGCTAGAAATGTCGATGAGAGAGAAACATCGACCAGCTGCCTCTTGCACACCCCCTACCGGGGATGTGCCCGCAACCAAGGTACATGCCCTTGACCGGAATCGAACCTGGGACCTTTCAGTCCGCAGACCGATGCTCTACCACTGAGCCAAACTGGTTTCAGCAGCTTAATATTCTTTATCAACATTTTCATGGGCTACTTGGAGCCTGTTTTCTTTTTTTTTAAATATATTTTTTATTGATTTCAGAGAGGAAGGGAGAGGGAGAGATAGAAACATCAATGGTGAGAAAAGTCATTGATTGGCTCCCTCTTGCACCCACACCCAGGCATGTACCCTCCTGGTTCATAGGTTGACACTCAACCGCGGAGCCACGCCTCTGTTTCCTTATCCTAGGATTATAGGATTGCTGGGAAGGCTAAGTGAGGCCGTGCACGGAAACTCAGAATTGCCTCAGTAACTTCTATCCATGTGTACATCTTAGAGAGATTATTTTACAGAACCTGGTTTATTCTAAGGTAAACCATGAGGTCCTAAAATAAAAGATTGCCATAGTTACGATAGAAAGGCTTATGCACTACCGTATTTTAATAAAAGCATTATTTATCAGGCAAATTTAATATATTTTGGTACTTGCACACCTCACCACACACACACCTCTCTTCTTCTTTGTTTTAATAGGAGTTAAGCCATTTGAGTGCTTAACATGTGGAGTAGCTTGGGCCGATGCCCGATCTCTAAAACGCCACGTCAGAACACATACTGGTGAACGGCCCTATGTTTGCCCTGTGTGCAGCGAAGCCTACATAGATGCTCGGACACTCCGCAAACATATGACTAAATTCCACAGGGATTATGTGCCTTGCAAGATTATGCTGGAGAAAGATACCCTTCAGTTCCATAACCAAGGGACTCAAGTGGAGCATGCTGTTAGCATCGTAACAGCAGACATTCACGAGGAGGAAAGCAATGAGCCTCAGGAACTTGAGACTGTGGTGGTGACCGGAGAAAGCATGGAAGCTCTGGAAGCCGTCGCAGCCACTGAAGAGTATCCGTCCGTATCTACGCTCTCTGACCAGAGCATTATGCAGGTGGTCAATTACGTGTTGGCACAACAGCAAGGACAGAAGGTATCTGAAGTTGCAGAAGCTATTCAAACTGTTGAAGTAGAGGTGGCACATATTTCAGAAGCAGAGTGAACATGTAATGGAAGTTTGTAAAAGTGACTTCTCGTGTATACTGAACTCACAGAACGTTTGTTTACAATACTATGTGACTCTCCACTTAGACTTCGTGTGTGAAAATTCTGGGATGTTTGATGATGTTTTAACATTTCTGAATGGTTTGTCCAGCTAAAGTCCATTTACTGTAAAGAAATTGAAAATACTATTTGATGGCCGTGGTTTATCATGGTATACTTTTTATGAATTAATGTGTGTAAAGGACTGTTGTAAGTGAAAAACTGTACAGTTTCATTTGCATTTTGGCTTTATTATATACTTTGAGTTTAAAAGGCTGCACCATTAGGCTTTTCTTCTCTTTTATTCTCAAAATATAGAAGTTTTGTGATTTCATTTGCCTTTTTATAGATTTAAAATTCTAATATAAAGCATTTTAGTCAGATGAATAGGTATATTACATTTTAAAAATGCTTCAAATCTGTGACTCTTGATTTACTATTTATTTTAAGCCCTTATAAGTCAGGGATTCTTTATTTTAAAGCACTTAATGAGTTACATATTGTAATCAAGTTTGCACAGTATACTTACCTATATGGAGCACCTTTAAATGAATAGCTGATTTTAAATATGCCATTAAAATGCATGAAATGCCTAGTAAAGCCTTACTATACTCTCTTCAAGGTAAGTAAATAGACCATAAGCAAAAAATACTGTTATTAAGCTCTGTTGATAAAATAATTTCTCCTGGATAACAATACGTGGGGGGAGGGTGTGGAAAATTTTTAATTCTTTTGCTGAAAAATGAACAAGTTAAAACTAGGTTTGGTTTGTTTGCAGCTTTTGTATCATGTTCTCTGTTGTTTTCTCTCTTTTTTCACCCTCTCTTTGTTTTTGTTTTTTTGTATCATGTTTAATTGTTCAATTTTATTGAAAAACTGCAATTTAGAAATAGGATAACTAGGTAGACATCTGTGGTGGTCCTGTGGATATCATATAATTAATTGTACAATAATTTCAGAATATCGAAAAGTCTTCAATTCTGTTCTCATTGTAGTATACTACTTAAAGAAAGTAATTATGGCCCACCAAATTTTTGAAAGTAAATTATTTTAAAAAGTTACCTGAGATTTAAATTATATTAATTTGTTTTTGATTTTTAAATTCCCACTTTAAGCTACCTTATTTTTTTTTATTTTCTGATTTTCAAAATAACTATTTCTTTCCTCTGGAAAGCTACCACTTAAGCTATAATTGTTAAAATCAAACATTTAAGTATTAAAAGCTAATATAAGGTATAAAATTAAGATATAAGTGAATCATATGTAAGTCATTCCTAAAGCACAGGAAAATAATGTGCCTTGATGTACATATACTTAGTTCCAGTTCACTTTAAAAATGGCTTCATAGATAAAGAATTAATGTGATGGCATGCATGCATTATACTTGCATATGTATTATTTGTATTTGCAAATTTCCCATTATTTCAATAGTTGTATGGCTGACTTTCCGTTTTAAGTGAATTGACATACAATCTATAACTCTATAATGGCTGTTTGTTTATTGTATCTTTTGGTTAGTGAAAATATATTTCAAAACTGACTAAAATTTGAAATTGTGTCTTTTTTCGTTTCATTTCCACCATTGTTATTAGATTTAGTTAACTGTATATGGCCATTGATGTATGTCATAAACATGTAAATAAAAGATGTTGAAACCTGTTTAAAAGCATAAGCTTTGGGATTGAGCTGGTCACTATTTTCAATTTATAAATCAGTTGCTCTGTTACCAAGTTAACCCATTTTTTAAAAAAAATTTGTGAAGCCTCCAATTTTATTTTACTATTTTTTAAATGGTAAATCATTTTTAATTTTCCACTTACAGTTGACATGAAATATTATATTAGTTTCATTTGCACACCCCAGTGACTAGGCATTAAGGTTAACCCATTTTTTAAAGGGAAGAGGAATAGAACATATTAGAAAAGAACCATTTGGCCCTAACCAGTTTGGCTCAGTGGATAGAGCGTCGGCCTGCGGACTGAAAAGTCCCAGGTTCGACTCTGGTCAAGGACATGTTTCAGGCACATCCTCTTCAGGAGGGTGTGCAGGAGTCAGCTGATCAATGTTTCTCATCAATGTTTCTAACTCTCTATCCCTCTCCCTTCCTCTCTGTAAAAAAAATCAATAAAATATATTTTAAAAATAAGAACCAGTCCTAGCCGATTTGGCTCAATGGATGGATCATCGGCCTAAGAACTGAAGGGTCCCTGGTTTGATTCTGGTCAAGGGCATGTGCCTTGGTTGCAGGCACATCCCCAGTGGGGCATGTACAGGGGAGGCTGATGGATGTTTCTCATTGATATTTCTGACTTATCCCTCACCCTTCCTCTCTGTAAAAAATCAATAAAATATTTAAAAAAATAAAAATAACCATTTGGGGAGCACATAATAATACTAAAACTTATTACTCTTAAATATAATCTAATAACAAGATTTAGTGTAATTGGCAATTTTGGATAATTTAGATGTGTAGAATTGCATAAATTGCATGTAGAAACCAGTGTTAAATTTCCGAAAATACAGCTTTATATTATCACTAGTGGCTCGGTGCATGAAATTGGTGCACATTAAAATGGAATTAGAGGAAATTATTTAATATTGCTATTTGCCCTTTATAATAGAAGTGTCAGAGATGAAAGAAAATTAGTAAAATGTATATGAAAATCTTCCTCTTGTCAGTCTGGGGCATGCTACGGGACCCAGAGTCAAGTCCCTGCCCATCTGCAGTACCTTGAAATTGTACAAAACCCAGCCCCACCCAGCCCCACCCCATTTGGTGAGATCCGGACCCGGTTGGCCTCATCCCTGTCAAGCCCTGCTGGGCAGGGGGCACAACCTCAGGTCCCCTGTCCAGCACTGGGCAGGGGGTGCAGCTTTAGGTACCCGGGCACACCCTCAGGTTCCCCAGCCAGCACCGGGGCAGGGATGTGGCCTGAGGTCCCTGGCCCAGCACCAGGGCGCTGGGTGCAGCCTGAGTTCCCCCGGCCAGGTGCTGGGCAGGGGGCCACAGCCTCAGGTCCCCTAGCCCAGGGCAAAAGGTGCGGCCTGAGGTCCCAGTCAAGCCCCACCAGGCGGGGAACACAGCCTGGCGCTAGGGCAGGTGGCGTGGCCTGAGGTCCCGCAACTTGCACCAGGGAGAGGGGCACAGCCTGAGGTCCCCATCCAGCCCTGCATGGTGAGGGGCGCAGACTCCGGTCCCCGGCCTGGCACCGAGGAAGGGGCGTGGCCTGAGTTCCCCCACAGGCAGCCAAAACCAGTTTGGCTCAGTGGATAGAGCATCGGCCCTCAGACTGAGAGGTCCCAGGTTCAATTCCGGTCAAGGGCACATTCCTAGTGTGTGTGGGGGGGTGTGTGTGTGCAGGAGGCAGCTAATGGATATTTCGCTCTCATTGATGTTTCTAACTATCCCTCTCTCTTCCTCTCTATAAAAAGTCAGTAAAATATATTGGGGGGGGGGGGGTCCCGCAGGCAGGGGTGCAGCCTGAAGTCCCTCATCAAGCCCTGGCGGGGAGTGCAGCCTCAGGTCCCTGCTGATTGCTTGTTAAGGCTCGTTACAGGAACTTGGCCTCTTCTGTGGGTGCAGCCATCTTGTTTGTTTGATGGTCAATTTGCATTTCCCTCTTTATTAGATAGGATGGGGGGAACTTCTATATTTATAAGGATTTCTGTTTAGAAATGCATTATTTTGTTGTCAGATGACTTTCCCCAGTGTGGATATCCCCTGGTTAAATTTGCTTTTTACTGCCCTAGCTGGTGGATAGAGCGTTGGCCTGTGGATTGAAGGGTCCCAAGTTTGATTCTGGTTAAGGACACATGCCTGGGTCATGTGCTCAGTCCCCAGTAGGAGGCATTCAATCAATGATTCTTTCTCATCATTGATGTTTCTATCCCTTCCTCTCTGAAATAAATAAAAATACATTTTTTAAAAATCTGTTACTATTGCTGCTTGTATTATTGCTGTCACTGATGTATATGTATTGCCAATGGAAATGAATTAACTGCGTTAGCCAGTTTGGTTCAGTGTATAAAGAATCAGCCTGTGGACCAAAGGGTCCCAGGTTTGATTCTGGTCAAGACTCAACCAATCAACGTGTCTCTCTCACATTGATGTTTCTGTCTTTCCCCCTCTCTTCCACTCTCACTAGAAATCAATGGGAAAAATATTCCAGGTGAGGATTAACCAAAACAAACAAACAAAAAATTCTAAATGGTGATATATTTAAGATTTTTCTATGATTGAAAATAAGACCCATCAACAACCTTGCAAAATTCCCTAATTAATTTAAATAGTTTGGATTGTATACATACCTAATTATGTCATCTACAAATAATGAAATTGTATTTCTCCTATTTCAATTCTGGCTTGCCTTATTGCTCTGTATTGGATGTCTAGTATAGTATTAAAAAGATGGTCACTAAAAATAGTGGCCTCCCTGTCTTTTTTCCAATCGCAGAGTGAAAATCAGCTACACATGGTGGAGTAGGTAACTTCAGGGTGAGGGGCTTATTGCCAAAAAATAAGCCATGTGAATAAGAGGTTTGAACTTACGGTTTACCACCACCCACAGCCGCCAGCGGAGGAGAGAGAGAGGCTGGAGACTGAGTTCCATCAGAGTGATCACTAATGCATTAGCCCAAACAATCATGCTCAGGAAAGGAAACCTCAACAAAAGCTTAGAGGCTCAGAGTTCCCTGGGTGGTGAACCAGTGGGTGGCTCACCCTGGAGCAGAAGCTTCTGCTCTGAGATAAGGCCTGGGTAAGTGTGTTTGAGAGGGGACTCCCTTCTGCCTCCAAACTGTCCCCCCCCACACGCCCCCCTCGCCAACAGAGGTTCTAATCTGGGCAGAGTGAGCTGAGAAGACTGAGGCTTTGACCACGCTGTCTGTTCATGAGGAGGTGGTTCCAAGCTGAGAGGACCTCAGGCTGCTGCCATCCCTTCCACCAAATGTTCAGTTTGC